GGCTCCTACTCGGTGATACATCCACCTGGCTCATACCAATCCCCTGTGTTCCGGGAGTCCAGGAGCTGTTGGGTTGGGGGAGGGGAGGGAGCTCAGGGTGGACATACAGGTCTTGCTGCTCGAAATGCCCCTTTTATCGAGCCCCCAGCTCCTCCCTGGAAACTGGAGGGCGGCTTCGGTCCATTGACGGCTGACCCCATTCCTTTCTTCTTGGTGGCTCCTGTAGGTGGAGTTACTCTGCCCAGTTACCCATATCCCAAGAGCCCTAGGGAGGGGCCATACTGGGGGTTAAGAAGCAGGGTTGGGGGCCTGGAGAGATGGCTCAGAGGTTAAGAGCACTGGCTGTTCTACCAAAGGTCCTGAGTTCAATTCCCAGCAACTACATGGCGGCTCACAACCACCTATGGTGAGATCTGGCACCCTCTTCTGGCATGTACATGCAAGCAAAACATTGTATACATAGTAAATAAATAAGTAAATAAACTTGAATTTGTATCAATATACCAAAATTAAGAAAAAAAAAAAAGGAAGGGTTGGTTATGGCGTAGGAGTCATGAGCTCCCTTGAACCCCCGGTCAGTGGCCAGGTCATTACTTATCAGAACCAGAAAAGGAAAGGGGGTGGAGCTGGAGCTGGAGCTCAGCGCAAGGTGTGCCTGCAAGCACGAAGCCCAGTGCCCCGCCCCCAGCATCAGTAATCACTGAGTGCGGTAGTGCACACTTGTAATCCCAGCACTCAGGAGGGCAAGTGGTGGGGAGGTGAGGAGCAGGAGAACGAGGCTAGCCTGGACTAGGTGAGGCTATGTGAAAAAAATGAAACAAAAATTGGAACCGAAGAGTCAAGCAGTAGAGGGTGCTTAGGAAGAGAGCTTGGTGGTGGCAGTGGGGCTGGAGATACAGCTCGAGGGTAGCATTCACACAAGGAAGTCCCAGCATCCGGAGGGACTGGGGAGGATGATTCGGCCCAAGGAGGAGGGGTGGGCCTTTCAGCCACTGCACTCACCCCGCTGTGTCCGGGCTCCCACTTCCGGTGTATCTACCGCTACCGCACAGGGGATCCTCTGGGCAGGGCTGGTGGGAGGCGCCTTTGCAGTGTGCCAGGCAGAGAGGCGCTGGACTAGCTTGGCCCCCAGAGCTAGGGCCTCTGGCTCCCTGGGCTGTGGCGTTGGCAGCAATAGGAAGTGAGTCCTTGGGTGAAGAGGCCGTGTGGTCCTCAGGCAAGAAGTAAGCCTCTAATTTGGTCTCAAGTGGCTCTGTGGGAGCAGCAAGTGGCTAAGAGAGCGAGCGGCCGTGAGAGATTGGCTCTGTCCAAGTGCAACCTGGGCCCACCTCCCTGAAGTGCATTTGGCCTTGTGGTAGCTGGCACCACTGGTCCCTGGAAAGTGTCTGCCGGGGCAATGAGGCATGCCCTTCTCTCATGCGTGACTCACCTCAGCCTTGCAGAGTGACAGACTGACACAAGGAAGGTGCAAGGTGCAGTTTCAGGCCTGAAGTGGATCAGACACATGGGGTGGGGGTGGGGTGCCGAAGAAGCGGATGGTCGTCTGTTTGCTCCTCTTTCCCTCATGTAGCTGCCCAGCAGTCTGACAAGGCCTGTGGAGACCTCCCGCCCACCAGGCATTTCCTCTTCCTGCTGCGGCCTCCTGGAAGCCCCAGCTGCTGAGGCATGCAGTAATGCAGTATCTCGCCATTTTTCTCTTTCTCAGATGAAGAGCCCGAGGTGTAGACCGGTAGGCCAGCAAGGCCAGCTGCTGGGCTCCTCAGGAGGTGGGACCTTCAGCGGACAACTGGGTTTGCTGGTCTTTCCCAAGGACTTGGTTCCTGTGGACCACCCCTAAGGGTTCCTTACCAGACAGCAGTGGGCTCACAGTTCTCATCCCAGACCTTAGACGGAGGCTGAGGTCAGGGGCCAGCAGCTTGCGCCTCTCAGGCTATGTGCTGGGCTGCAGCCTTTTTGAAGGGAGTTTGGCATTTCTCTCTCTGCCCAGCCAATCCTCCCGCTCGGCTATAAGGAACTAGAAGTGATGGGCCTCACTGCAGCAGGAAGCAGATCAGCCCAGTACCCATGGTTGGCGTGAGTCACAGAGCATCCGCTAACCAGGAGGCAGAGCCACATGCACGGGTGTGGAGGGATGCCGCCGTGCATGTCAGGGGAGAAGCGAGCCATAGAGCCTTCTGGGTAGCATGACAAAACACGATCTTGGATCTCGCTGTGGGTGTGACTGTGTGGATAATCGAGTAATCTACGTGTGACTGAGAAAAGTCTAAAAAGGTAGCCCGGCCCTTTAGCACACACATGGTATCCCAGCACTTGGCACACAGAAGCAGGAGGGTCAGGAGTTCAAAGCCAGCCTTGGATACCTTGCTTATTTGAAGTCAGCCTAGGCTATACGAAACCTTGTTTTATTTTGTTTTTAAAAAATATTTTATGTCTGTGAGTGCTTTGTCACTGTGTGTGATCACCATGGACATGCTGCCAGAAGAGAGCACTGGATCCCTGGGACTGGACTTCCGATTGCAAGCCACCATGTGGTTGGTAGGATTGAACCTAGGTCTTCTGCAAGAGCCACTGACAACCGAGCCATCTCTCCAGCCCGAGATGAGACAAGAAGTCTAGAAAGACCAAGTTTGGTTCCACAAGCCTTTAATTCTAGCACTCAGGAAGTGGAGGCAGTTCTGAGTTCTAGGTCAGCCAGAGCCACATGGTGAGATCCTGTTTGGGGGGGGGGGGGAGGATGGGGTGTGAAAAGGATATTTATCAAGCTACTAATGATTTTCAGGGAAAAAAAATACTTGGGCATTAATATAGGAGCTTTAACCTTTAAAACAATTATTTTCTCCAAACGTTCTTGTTTACATTTATTTGGTGTGTATATGTGAGAGAGAGAGAGAGACTTGCCTGTAGATCAGAGGATAACTTGCCGAAGCTGGTTCTCTCCTTCTGTCTTGTAGCCCTGGTCTTCAGGCTTGGCAGCAAGAACCTTTACCTGCTGAGCCATCTTGCCAGCTTAGCTTCAGTCTTTTAACATTTTGATTTGTGTAACTCAGATTTTTACAGGGCTGGGGATCTGGCTTAGTGGGTAGAGTACTTGCCTAAAAGTACAAGGCCCTGGGTTCAATTCCTGGCACCACATAAACTGGGTGTGTTGGTACATGCCTGTAATCCCAGCACTCAGGTGATGGAGGCAGGAGGATCAGGAGTTCGAGGTGACCCCTAGCTACATATTGTGTTTGAGGCCAGCCCGGGCTAAATGTGACCCTGACACACAAAGATATATTAGTGTAGGTCTGATTACTAATTAAATTTACGTATTTATTTTGTTTTGTTGAGATAGACTCTCACTATGTTGTCCTGGCTGGCCTTTGCCACTGCACCTGTCCCTGTTCAGGGTCATCCTTACCTACATAATGAGTTCAGAGACAGCCTGGACCATGTGAAACAAAGAACAACAAAAGACTCCGCTGAAGTATCCATTGATTAAGCACTGTCACCTGACAGGTGGAAAATGGCCTTCTTTTTATTTGTTTGTTTTGGTTTTTGAAACCAGGTCTCACGCTGGCCTCAAATTCACCATGTAGCTAAGGATGACCTTGAGTTCCTGATCCTTTTGTCTCTACCTTCCAAATGCTGGGGTTCCTGGCACGTGCCACCATGCCCAGCTCATGTCTCACCTGTACCTTGCTGAGCCAGTTCTGCCTGAGATCTGTACTTCCTGCCTCTGAGCATTTTGCAACTGCAGGGTTGCTGAGCATGCCCTCATGCCTGTGAAGGTAGCTGACCCTGAAGCAAGCACCTCCAGTCTTCCAAGATGCTCAACACTTTCCTCCAGATGAGCAAGAATAGAGTCACACAGAACCACAGACAGACATACAGACACACACACACACACACACACACACACACTGGAAGTAGGGGGCAGAGAGCACAAGCTCTCTGGCACCTTTTCTTTCAAAGCAGATGACAGTGGGTAAATGAGCCTTGGGTTCCTCCTTTGCTTCCCAGGGAGGCCGAGAGATACTAGAGGGAAGTGGGGTTCTGGGACGTGTGAGGACAGCCAGAGAAATTACTGATTTGATTTCTACCAGTTGGAGCCTTAGTGGGTTCTGATCTCAGGCCCCAGTGGGTGAAGCAGGTATTGTCCTTCTAGGCAGGCCTGTGCCTAGGATAGTTGCTGCATAGTCTGGAGACTGCTTGGGGCCTTGGTGAGCTTGGTCTGAGAACTGATGGGGCCTGAGTTGGGAAACAGAGCTGTGAAGCTAGCTCATAAGAGCATTCCTCTTACGGAGGGCCTCTTTGATACTCCCACCCCTCCCATTCCCCCATGGGAACATAGGAGGAAGGCCATGATTGCTGAAGTCAGGCCAACCTCAGGCGTCTGGAATTGATCTGGTGGCATTCGAATTTCCTGAGGAAGTTTCAAAGGTGGAACATGAGGAACATCTTTTGTTTTTGTTTCTTGTTATGTTTTCATTCACTGTGTTCACCTGTATATGGGTGCACACACCCAAGTGTGTGGGAGGTCAGAGGGCAACTTTTCGCAGTGGGGATTGAACTCAGGTAACCAGGCCTGCATAGCAAGCACCTTTACCTATGGGGCCATCTTGCCAGCCTTGCTCTTAGTTTTTTAATGCAGGGTCTCATGTAGCCCTGCCTGCCCTCAAACTCAGTAGGTAGCTGAGGAGGACCCTGAGCTTCTGATCCTCCTGCTTCTGCCTGGTGAGGGCTGGGTTACAGGCATGCACCACCCTACCTGGTGTCCATGGTACTGAGGACTGAGCCCAGGGCTTCATGCATTCCAGATAAGCGCACTACCATCTGGCTACATCGCTGGCTGCAGGATCATTTGTTTAGAACTGGGAAGCCAGAGTCTTAGTAAGGTGGGGCACAGTGGGGTATCCCACGGGTGGTAGGACCAGGCTGGCCCACCTGCTGGGCCTCCACAAATCCCTTAAGCTTTCAAAGGTCTAATCCTTTCTGTTTGTCCTTCTTCATCTTTCCAGGTGGAGAGCAGTGACACCCCCAAGGACCCTGCAGTGACCACCAAGTCTCAGCCCATGGCCCAGGACTCTGGCCCCTCAGATCTGTTACCCAATGGAGACTTGGAGAAGCGGAGTGAACCCCAACCTGAGGAGGGGAGCCCAGCTGCAGGGCAGAAGGGTGGGGCCCCAGCTGAAGGAGAGGGAACTGAGACCCCACCGGAAGCTTCCAGAGCTGTGGAGAATGGTTGCTGCGCAACCAAGGAGGGTCGTGGAGCCTCTGTGGAAGAGGGTGAGTCCCAGCCTGAGGCAGGCCTCTTCTGGGTCCTCTGAGCCCGTAAGGATCACAGACATGGGTGTGTGGCAAGTTTCAGGAGGATGGGCAAAGGTAGGAGCTGACCATGTTTGCCCCGGCAATGGCCTAGAAGCTGCTGGACAAACACAGCCTGTGCCCGTGGTTACTTGGCACACCTAGTGTGCTAAACAGTTAAAAAATTAGTTGCCAGCATTTAAAAAAAAAAAAAAAAAATCAAGAAATTCCACATGAAAATCTGGAGTTTTTGGCTCTTCCTGGGGGGAAAAATAGTCGGCTCTGGCAACAGGCAACAGTGGGTTTGCACGATGCCGGGGATGCTAGACTGGGGTGATCAGTGCCCTCCTTCTTTGTAGGCTGGTTGTGTGCCTCAGTTTCCCTCCACTGCCAGCTGGCCCGCTTACTCTTACGCATGTCCTGCCTTGGCTCATGAAGACAACAGATGCCACGTTTGCCTGTCCCAGGGCAGAGGCCTTGCCTGGCACACCCTGGCTTGGTTGACTGCATAGTCAACTTGGTTGTGACGGTGGACACTGAGGGGACGGCCGGAGGAGGCCGTCTGAGCACGGCCCTGCTCGGAGCTCTCCATCTGGGGACTCTGTGGCCCAGCCCTGGAATTTTGGAAAGTTGCCCGCTTTTCTCTTTCAGGTTAAGCCAGAGATTTCAGGGCCAAGCAAGCTGTAAACAAGTGAGTAATGAGGACAGCTAGCATTTGTACCGGGCTTCACAGTTTACACAGCACCTCCTCCTCCATTATCACATTTGATCCTCCGGGGCCCTGCCAGGTTGTTTTGCATATGTGCATTTTGATTTCAAAAAGTGTTCCTTCCAAGTGTGTATGATGGGATGAGTAAATTGATTAACTGGCATAACTCATTTTGCATGAATCCAAACCTAATATTTATGCAGAAGAGGGAATATTTCCAGAAAAGAGGCTTCTAAACTTATTTTGAAATATCTTTCATTCATTATTCAGCAAATATTTATGATACTCTGCAATGTGCAAAGCACACTCTGGGGCAGTTTGCGTTTTGTTGCTGTATCTGGTCCTCCAAGGTCTCCTTCAAGAGGTTTTACTAGCACCATCTTAGGTCCCGGGAGAAAGCACAGCTTAGAAAGTGACTTGTTCCTGGCCTCCAAACCTGGCCTCTGGCTTCCAATACTTAACTTTTTGTTCGTGGATATATATATATATATATATATATGGTCTCACTATGTAGACCAGGCTGGCCTTAGACTCAGATGTTTGCCTGTCCCTGTTTTCTGATTAGAGGCATGCACCATTGTTGCCTGGCCCTGACCTCAAACTTCTGATCCTTTTCCCCTCCACCTCCTGAGTTCTGGGACTGAACAACCATGCACCACCTATTTTATTTACGTGTGTATGTATGTGTATCGCTTGAGCTTGCCACAGTATACGTGAGGAAGGAAGGCAACTTGGATTCTCTTTTCTCCTTCTACCTTGTAAATACCTGGGATGGGGTTCAAACTCAGATTGTCAGGTTTGGCAGCAAGCACCTTTATCTGCTGAGTCATCTTGGCTGTCCATGCCTGTTTTATGTGGGTATGGGGCTTGGGCCCCAGGGAACTGCACTCAGGATTTCATGTTTGCTGGGCAAGCACTGAGCTACCTCTCCAACCCAGGACTGGTTAGCTTTTGCTCTTGAGCCTCTGTGCTCTGCTCTGGTGTGTGTACTGTGTGGCTCTCGAGCTATCCAGGCCTCCTAGGAGTGTTAAGAGAGCTTGAGAAGAGAGAGGAGAGGAAGGAGAGATAGCTCCCTGCAGTTCACAATGGCAGGTATGCTGGAGAGCTCAGAGCCCTTCCTAGCCAGATACTGTGCTCCTGTGACTCACCTCCGGAATGCTGGGATCACACCAATGCAGGTGCCAAGTTGCTGCCCAGGGCCAGGACGGAGCCAGAGCTCTAAGGCTGCTCTTTGACCTTGAGGGTTTATTGAACTTCAGGGTTTCCCTGTCTGCATTCTAGTTCTTAGACACTCAGTCAGCTAACAAGTGTTCATTAAACATGCTTGGCGTGTGCCAGGTCCCGTGCCAGGCTGTGGAAACCATACTGAACAGAAACCTGGCTCTTGTCCTCAAGGACCTCACAGTTGGCTAGAGACTCTGCCCTTTCAAATGTGTCATTAGGGCTAGACAAGTAGCCCTGGGCTTAATCCCTGAGCAGTGTAGTTAGTAACTGGCATAGTATCCAAATCTCAGGGTTTGGGAGAAGGACGGAAGTCAGGAGTTCAAGGTCATCTTCTGCCTCTTAATTTTAGGCCAGCCTCCTCTCTCAAATACGAAACAAAATAATGACCACAAAACCAAATGTGCTGACCTACACAGAGGCCAGTGCTCCTAGGGTGAAGGAAACACTGTGCCATAGGAGCTAGGCCATCAGAGCCTAGGCTGGCCCCAGCTATTCTGTCATACTGGAGGGATGTGCTGCAGCTGGTCATGTGAGGGCTGGGGGAAGAAGGTAGTGAGGACAGACTGGTTGCAAGGTGAGACAGAACAGGGCATCAGGGACCTGACAGAAGCCACCGGACTGGAGTGGAGAGAGCCAGGCGGAAGGATGTGGCAGGCAGTGGGTGGCAGGTGGCCAAACCAGGCTTTCCTGGCTGCCTTCTCAGGGCTTGCCGGACAGGCTGTGATTGGAAAAGAGGACTTTCCATCTAGCTTCCCCCGTGGTTCAAAAGGACCTGGAAGTGGGGTGAGAGGTTAGGAGGCTGCTGCAGAGGTGGGGAGGAAGCGGGCCCGCTCTGATGAGCAGAGTAGATCTGTAAAGGGGGAGGGAGATGACCAAATGCCAAAGGTCTAAGACTAAAGAAATGTTAAAGAAGAGTTGATAACCTGGAAGGTCTGAGCATGATAGGCACACTCCAAATCTCAACTTCCATTTGACCTCCGGGGCATTCCTGGTGACCCTAGATATCCAAGAGAGGTGGGCGGTGGCCTCCTGGAGGCTCTGGCTGTGTGCTGGTGTGTGGAGGCTGGCCGCAGCTCCAGCAGGCAGCTACAATGTATGCTCCGCTGAGGAGGGAAGAGACTCGGCCATAGTTCCCCTCACCCCAAGGCTCTTTTCAGGGAGTTCCCTCTGTCCTTCCTGGAAACCCGCCTGCCTCTGCCCTCAGGGCTCTGGGGGCTGAGGGCCAGCTGTGTCCAGTGGTGCCTGGGAAGCAGTGTATCAGAACCCACCTCATGCCTTCTGAGAAATCTCATCTCTCAGTCCAGCCTTGTGCCCTGTGAGGAAGACCTCGTTGTCAGTGGTTTTCCTATGGGGAAGCCAGGCGTGGTAGCTTGCACTTGTAGTCCCAGGACTTGGTAGGTGGAAGCAGAAGGATCAGAAGTTCAAGGTCATGCTCAGCTACTACAGCGTCGGAGGCCGGACCTGGAGACATGAAACCTGCTCACAGAAGAGTAGGTGAGGGTCAGCAAAAGGCTGCTCTGCTCAGACCCAAACACGGGGACAAATATGGGCCAGTAACCACGTTTGTATTAAGTCTAGCATCTGCCACTGGGGTATTGTCTCATTATAAAGAGAACTTGGGGTTGTCCTTGCTGGATCGTCTCTGACCAACATGTAAGTGCTTAAAGCCCCTGACCTCCCTGTCCCCAGGACCTGAGAGGTGCCTTGGAAGCACGTTCCCATCCTCCAGGGCCACTCTGGAAGGCACACAGCCACCTGGCCGCTGGATCCTGGGTCTGAGCCAGGCGCATTCAGGCTGCAGAGGGAGCCCTCGGGGAGCCGGTAACTGTCCCAGCATTCTCAGACAGCCAGTTTGTGGTCTGCTGGCCGGGCTGGAGACGGAAAGAGTGAGTGCGTGCGTGCACGTGCGTGCGTGCGCGTGCCAGCGCGAGTGAGTGAGTGAGTAAGTGAGTGTGTGTGTGTGTGTGTGTGTGTGTGTGTGTGTGTGTGTGTGTGTG